TGTTACTGTGCTGAGCACTGAAACTGATTGAAGTTAGCTGCAATTTACCTGTCCAAGTCCTCCCCTAGAAGTTGCAAGCCTTCAACAGACTCCAGAGTTCCAAAATAGTTACATCAGACAGATTCTGCCAGTGCAATTGCTGTTTAGGTGGGGAGACAGATTGCTGGTGTTTCCTAGTCTGCCATCTTCCCAGAATCCTCTATGGGATGGTTTTTAAGCTACAAATGAAATTTCTTTAATTGATATTGAGCTATTCAGGTTACTTTTTTAAAAAAAATCTATTCTTGAATGAGCTTGAATAAGCCTTTCAAGGGATTTGTCTATTCTAATTAGGTTGTCAAATTTATAGGCATAAAGTTATTTATAATATTCCCTTATCTTTTTCATATCAGAATCTATAGTTGTATCACCTCTCTCATACCTGATGATGGTAGTTTGTGTCTTTCCTCTTTTCCCCCGCTTGATAATTTGTCTAGAGGTGTCTCAATTTTGTGATATTCTCAAACAAACAGGTATTGGTTTATTAATTTTCTCTAATACCTTTGTTTTCTATTTCATTGATATCTGCTCTGATCTTGTTTCCTTCCTTATGCTTGCTTTGTGTTTGCTCCCCTATCCCTAATTTCTTAAGGTAGGAGCTAAAGTCATTGATTTGAGACCTTTCTTTCTTTCTTTCTTTCTTCCCTAATATGATATTTAGTGCTATAAAATTCCCCTAAGTACTGCTTTAGTGACATCCCAAAATCTTTGATATATTGTTTTCATCTCCATTCAGCTCAAAATGTTTTCTAGTTTCCATTTGGATTTCTTTTGTGACCCATGGGTTTTTAGAAGTGTGTTATTTCATTTTCATATTTGGGGATCTTCCAGAGATCTTTCTGTTAGTGATTTGTCATTTAATTCTATTGTGGTTGCAGAATGTACTTTGTAGGATTTCAATCCTTTCACTTTTATTGAGATTTCTTTTATGGCCCAGAATATGGTCTATCTTGGTAAATTTCTCTGTGTCCTTGAAAGGAACATGTGTTCTGCTGATGTCTGGTTGAGTGTTATCTTTAAATGTCAACTAGGTCGAATTGGTTGATAGTGTCGTTTAAGTTTTCTACATCCTTAATTATTTTCTGTGTACTTATTCTATCAATTAGTGAGAATTGAAATATCTGACTGTAATTGCAGATTTATCAATTTTTCTTGCAGTTCTGTGTTATTAAGTAAAAAAAAAATTAGGATTATTATTTCCTCTTAGAGAATTGGCTTCTTTATAATTATGAAACGACTTTCTTTATCCCTGGTAATATTCTTTCATCTGAAATCTCTTTTCTCTGATATTACTATAGCCATTTCAGTTTTCTTTTAATTAGTGTTAGAATGGAGTTTTCCACTCTTTTACTTTGAACCTATTAGTGTCTTTATATTTTACTGTGTTTCTTGTAGGCATCATATAATTATAGTTGGGTGTTGCTTAGTTTATCCAATCTGACGGTGTCTGCCCTTTAGTAGGAGTTGTTAGACTACAACTGACCCTTAGGGGCGCCAACCTCCCACGCAGTTGAAAATCCACGTTAACTTTTGACTTCCCCCAAACTTAACTAATACTCTACTGCTGACCAGAAGCCTTACTGGTAACATAAAAAGTTCATCAACACATATGTTGTATGTATTATATACCATATTTACAACAAAGCAAGCTAGAGAAAAGAAAATGTTATGAAGAAAATCATAAGGAAGAGAAAATACATTTACAGAATTGTACTGTATTCATCAAAAAAAAAAAAATCTGTGTATAAGGGGCCCTGTACGGTTCAAATCTGTGTTGTTCAAGGGTCAACTGTACTTATATTTTATGATTATTGATATGGTTAGATTTAAGTCTGTCATCTTGTTATTTGCTTTCTATTTGCCCCATCTATCCTTTGGTCCCCTTTCCTCTTTTCCTTTCTTCTTTTAAATTAACTGAGTATATTCTGATTCTATTTTATCTTCTTCGCATGCTTATTAGCTGTTTTTTTTGTTTGTTTTTAGTGGCTGTATTAGGGTTTTTTTATATATATATATAAAATCTTTAACTTGTCACAATCTACCTTTAGGTGATATTATACTACTTCATGTATAAGAATCTTACAATAGTCTTCTTCCATTTTTCCCCTCCCTGTCTTTATGATATTGTCATATGTTTTATGTCTTATATACTTGTCATATATTTTACTTCTACATGTTATAAACCCCACAGTATATTCCTATTATTTTTGTTTAAACAGTCAATTATCTTTTAAAGAAGTTTAAATAATAAGAAAAAAACTTATGTAATTGCCCATGTGGCTATCAGTGCCCTGTATTCCTTTGTGTAGATCCATATTTCCATTTGGCATCATTTCCTTCTGCCTGAGGGAATGCCTTTAGCATTCCAGTAGTGAAAGTCTGATGGTGAAATCTTTTAGCTTTTGTATAGTTGAAAATTTCTTTTTTTTTTTTTGGCCTTTGTTTCTGAAAGATATATCTTTGCTAGATATAGAATCCTAGGTTGACAGTTTTTTTTCTTTCAGTACTTTAAAGATGTTGTTCCACTAAATTCCCCTTTGTTGAATTCAATAATGGGAAATCTGCTGTCCTCTTTATTTTTGTTCTTCTGTGGCTGCTTCTAAGATTTTTTTATTATTGGTTTTGAGAAATTTTATTATCACATACCCTGGTGGTGTTTCCTTCATGTTTCTTGTGTTTGGAATTTGTTGAGCTACTTGATAAAATCTGTTTTCATCAAATTTGGAAATTTTTCTATTATTTCTTCAAATATTTTTTCCTGTTCTTCCTCTGTTTTTTCCTTCTAGGATTACAAGTATATCAAGATTCTTTTAAGTTACCCGAAATCTCATTGATATTCTTTCTTTTTAGAATTCCATTTTTTCCCTCTGTGTTTCATTTTAGATCATTTCCACTGTTCTATCTTTAAGTTCACTAACCTTTTCTTCTGCAACATCTAATCTGTTAATCCTTTCTGGTGTATTTTTCCTCCCACGAATTGTAGTTTTCATCTCTTAATATTTATTTTGAGCCCTTTTTATATTTTCCAGGTCTCTACTTCTGAGCGTATGGCATATAATTATAGTAACTGTTTTAATGTCGTCTGCTAATTCTCACATCTGTGTGAATTGTTTCAGTTTCAATCGATTGATTTTTCTCCTCATTATGGGTATGAATACAGACTTTAAATTTTTTGCCACAGAACACCAAATTGCCCTCCAAAAGTTTCATCATTTATCCTATCACTACCAATAGATGAGAGTGTCTGTTTCCCTCCCTATCCTGTCGCCACCAAATTTTGTCAGTCTTTAATCTTTGCCAATTGCACAGGCTAAAGCTATCTTCTACTATAACAGGTATTTATTGAGCACTGACTTCAAGCCTGGTGATGGATGGTAGCAATTCTGTGTTCAAGCAGCCGCAGTAGCTGCCCTCATGGTGCTTATAACCTTGTGGTGTTGACCATGTTTTTATTTGTATTTTCACTGATTATCAGTGACATTGAGCATCTTTTTTTTTTTTTTTTTTAAGATTTTACTTATTTGACAGAGAGAGAAATAGTGAGAGAGGGAACACAAGCAGGGGGAGTGAGACAGGGGGAGAAGCAGGCTTCCTGCCAAGCAGAGAGCCTGATTTGGGGCTCGATCCCAGGGCCCTGGGATCATGACCTGAGCTGAAGGCAGACGCTTAACAACTGAACCACCCAGGTGCCCCTACATTGAGCATCTTTTCCCAAGTTTATTGGTCACTTATATTTCTCCTTTGGTATACTGCTACTAATGTTCACTGGATTGTTTGGATTTTTCATTCCTTTGTAAAAGCTATATATTTACTAAGGATAGATACCCACTTTCACCTTTTTTTTTTTTTTGAGAGAGAGCATGCGCAGAAGTGAGGGGAGAAGCAGAGGGAGAGAGAGAATCCCAAGCAGACTTCCCACCACTAAGCGTAGAGCCCTATGTGGGGCTTGATCCCACAACCCATGAGAACATGACCTGAGCCTAAATCAAGAGTCAGATTGCTTAACCAGCCGAGCCACCCAGGCCCCCTCACTTTCATCTTTCAAATAAAAAAAGTTTGTGGTACAAAGACATTTCCTTTAAAATAAACTAACATTTGTACATAATTTCTTCAAAGAAATTATTTGCATGTTACTCAAGTACTCTTTCTCTACATTAAAAATAAATAGGAATTGGTTCTGGTTTAAAAACAATGCCCTTAAAGGCAAATATTTTTGAATACAAAAATACGAAATACATATATGAATACTTTAGGTATACATAAATACATAAATACTTTCATATATATCTGACATCAACATATAAATGACCTACATTCTTTAGAAATAATTATGCAGATTCCAAATGCCATTTTACTCTCTAATAATGAAAGAGAAAGTCAAAGAGATGGAACATTTCCAGATTAAATATTCCCAGCTGATTAAATATCTCCGGCAAAGCCATGCCATCTGTACTGGAAATGCCCTATATGCAAGATTGTTAATTTGTAATTGTCTAAGATCTATTCAAAGGAGAAAATGTCCAAATTCCCATTATAGCATGTTTGCTTACCCACTGAAGAACAGCAAGAACTCTCATGCACATGCACAAGAGTAACAAGGCACATGCTACCTATTCATCTGGCTGTGCAGGTAAATGCTTCCTGGGAGCATCAGGAAGAATGCCCTGAGACACAGTTTCTAGAAAGTGCCCAGGGTCTTTTTAACCTTCATGGGCAACATGTGGCAGGGGATGGTGGAGCCTGAGAAATCTTCAACTTTATGGCCAGGGATAGGACTTGTCCACATGTCACAGGGCTAAGGGGTGTTAGCTCTCCGAACATGATGGAGGAATGCATGCCACCAGTTACGCTGTGAATTCGTAAACTGAACAGTTTTAATAATGGTGATGATGACAACAACCAGGAGAACCCCACAAGGCCCAATCCATCCATCTGTCCATTGCGCCTGGCACCCGACTGACCTGTTTGATGTAGGTGGTCTCTGGCCACCTCAAACAAGCGCAGGTGCATGTTGGTGATCGGATTGAAGGAGCCACAGGCCAGGAGCACCACTGGGATTTGGCTCTTCATCTTGTCAGGCACATCCACACCCGCGGCAGTGGCCACCCTGCCTTCGTGGGGACAAAAACTGATGTTAGAGAGTTGGCACAAGACAAACAGTCCAGATCAGTGTCCCTAAAGCATACAGGGGCTATTACTTCTCATTTGTAAGGTGACTGAGGGGGCAGTAATAACATTTTTGGAGGGTTTACCATGGGCCAGGACCTGTGCTCAACACTATGTCACGGTATACCCCTTGTCTCCTCAAATCCTTTCCACAACCCTGAGTGGTCACCTATCCAGCTCAGGGACCTTAGAAGCTGCACGACTGGAACCCAGACAGCCTGATTCAGAGACCATGTTCTTCTTGTAAGCTCTATACCCTCCCTGGGCTCTGATGGGTCACCTTGGAATCAAAAGGGGGTTAAGACCCCTATATGTCATCTCTGATAGTCCAAGTGAAGCTCACTAGGTCCCAGAGTAGACTGGTACTTCTTAAAAAACTTATTTAAAAATACTTTCAGATTTTCAAGTCGAGTTGCAAAATTTGAACAAACAATGCCTATACACCCTTTACCCACATTCCCCAAATGTTAACATCTTACCACATTTGCTTTAACACTCATTCTCTTTCTCTACACAACACACACAGGTTTGTACCTATAATTTTTTTTCTAAAATGTTTAAGGGTAAGTTGTAGAGGTAATACCTCTTTACCTCTAAATACTTCAGTAGGTTTTCTAAGAACAAAAGCATTTTCTTATATAACTGCAGAGCAATGATTAAAATCAGGAAATTAAAATTGTTACAGGATGAGTAATCTACAGATCTTTTCTTTTTTTTTTTAAGATTTTATTTATTTGACAGAGAGAGAGAGAGAGAGACAATGAGAGAGGGAACACAAGCAGGGAGTGGGAGAGGGAGAGGGAAAAGAAGGCTTCCCGCGGAGCAGGGAGCCCGATGCGGGGCTGGATCCCAGGACCCTGGGATCATGACCTGAGCCAAGGGCAGACGCTTAATGGCTGAGCCACCCAGGTACCCCAGATCTTTTCTGCTTTTACCTATTGTCCTTTATCTAGGCCTGAAGCATTTTGAGGGTTCCGCCCACCCTCCTGTCTCCACCATCTGGGGATTTCAGGGCCAGGGTGAGGTTGAAGGAAAGCAGAACACAGCCTGGGCTCCAGGGCACACTGGCAGACATGGCTCTCCTGCCTCCAAGATGCTGTCTCCTGGAGTGTCGGGCTCCACTGGAGTTAGGCTTTGGTTTGACTCCTAGTTTTACCTTTCACTGGCTGTGTGACGTAGGGCAAATCACAGTTCCTCTCTGAGCTGCAATTTCCTCATATGCAAGATGGGGATAATATTACTTCCGCTTACTGGGTTGTTGAGAGGCTAAATGAGCTATGTATGAGCAGTCTGATGTACAAGAAGCGTTTAATGAACTGCTGTGGCTTGGTGATGATCATGCCAATAATGAAATGGGTGCTGCAGCTGCTGACTAGGACAAGGGAGGAGGAGAGAGGAGGTGGTTCCCAGTGATCCTCACCTCCTAGTACTCACCTGCAGTCCCTCCCCTTGAGTGAGGGCTGGGCCTAGTAACTTGCTTCTACTAAACAGAATACAGCAAAAGAGTGGGATTTCACTTCAGAGAGGTTACAAAAAGTCTCTGGCTTCCCTCTTGCTCTCTCGCTTTCTCACTCTGATGAAGCCAGCTGTCCTGTTGTGAGTTGCCTCACAGGGAGACCCCTGGGGCAAGGAACTGAAGGGGACCTCTGGAGCCAAGAGCCCGTGAAGAATTAAATCCTGTCAGCAAGCACGTTAGTGAATGTGGAAGTGGGTCATTCCCCAGTCAAGTCTTCAGATGAGACTGCAGGCCCGTGAACATCTTGACTGCAGCCTTGTGAGAGACTCTAAGCCAGAAGACCCACTTAAGCTACTTCTATATTCCCACCCCACCTGCTAAATTTTGGGTTAATTTGTTAAGTAGCAAGAGGTAACTAATACAGTGACCAACAGGAAAAATGCATTCACTTCCTTCCTTTCATTCTTGCTATGGTGGCTTTGGCTGTAATTCTGCAGTTGCCGGGGTAACATGGAGAGTTCTTGGTCACTGGAACCTGGAACTCTCTTTGTATCCAAGGAAACTATTGTAATCTGGTCTTTGTTGTCTGCTTCTCCAGATCCAATGTAGCTGCCTACTTACAGACTTTGTCACGCAAGAAACAAATACCCTCTATTTGTTGAAGCCATCGAAGTTAGGCTGCTGGGACTTGTACTCAATTGCTGCAAATGCTGGGACTTATATCCAACTACTGCCTGACTCAAACTTCAGCAACAGTGGAGTTCCTGTCTGTGGCTTCTTTGTGAGCTCCTCATGGCTTCTGGCTTCAAGCTTTTGTATATGTTATTTCAGTTTCCTCCAACTGGAATACCCCCGGCATGCCCCAATCTGTTACGATTTAACTCAGGTGATCACATTATTTGTGACTTCAATCATTATTTCTTGACTGAATTAGTTAGAGATGCCTTTGGCTACAAGTCCCAGAAGCCTAAAACTTTAGTGGCTTAAATACACAGAGGTTATTTGTTTCTCACATGACAAGAAGTCTAAGGAGGCAGCTGATAGGTCACTGGCTCAACAAGGACCTGCAAATCTCTCAGCTTTTCCCTCATGGCCACAAGATTGCTGCTGTGGCTATAGCCATCATGAATTATGATCAAGGCAAAAAGGAGCAAAGAGCTACACTAGACTGGTTGTCCCTCTTAATCAAAAACAGAAGAGCTTTTTCAGAACCACCCTGTAGATTTTGCTTCTTATTGGCCAGAACTACATCACATGGCCCCTCTAGCTGCCAGAGAGGCTGGAAAAGCAAGTATTTAGCTGTACAGCCTCCCGAGTGGGAACCAGCAAGGAAAAGGGAATTGGAAATGGGATTAGTGAATGCACAGCATCTGCCACAGAGTTGGGGATACAACTGCCACAGAACTGGCTGCCGGGCTGGCTTTTCTGACAGCTAGCTTGGGTCAGCTGATCTATGATCTACCTTCAGTAAACCATAGACAACATTCTATTGGAAAAACCTGCTCTTGTGCCTTTCCCACCCACCAGACGACAGGACAGGAGTGGTGTTTCCTTCATCTCTGGCTCCCAGCTTTAAGCACAGCGCCTGGACCAGAATGGGGCTCAGTGAAGATTGAAAAGGGTGGCGGCTAGCTGCAGAGGGGACCTGTGTCCTGGCAGGGGGAAGGCCTAATGCACTTCCTAAGGTCGAGAAGTTGTTCTGGATGTATTCCGAGGTATAGCATGCAGATAAAAAAAAAAAAAACAACTCTCAATCTAGGCGGGCTATGGTTTCTTCAAGCTTCCTTTAAGGCAGCAGGAACACCCCCGACTGCGAGAGAAGAAAGCGGTCTGCAAGCTACTGCTGCTAGCTTTTTCCCGGGGAGGCTGGCTGGTTTAATGAGATATTATCTGCAGAGTGTGCTTAGCTACTCACAAGAGCAGCCTTGTGATGAGTTATCTGATGAGGCCGGCTGTTGTTAGAACTTTGAAAGGCTCCTTAATAGTTGTGATTTCGTTTTGACAAAATACAGTGTTTTTTTTGAGCTGTTAAGACATGTAACTGCAGCATCTCAGGTAACCTGGGGTTTTGATTCTTTTTTTCTAAAGTTCCCCAGAAACTGTAAATTAGATAATTTGTTTGAATGGAGGCATCAACAGCAATGAAGGGTGATGTCGGGGAGAAGCATAACTGACATTTAATGTGTCTGTCTTTTCGTTCCTTGCCAGGAGCCCACTGAGCCACCCTGCTCCAGAGTGACTGAGCCTGTCGCGGCCGCAGCTGGGGCAGGAAGAGGCAGTGAGTGCCCGTTCCCAGGCTCAGGAACGAAGCTGGTGCTCCTGCCTCACTTGTATACCCTAACTTGCCTCAACTAAACACCCCCCCCCCAAGCCCAAACCCAGAGAAATAGTGACAGCCTTAGAATGGACTCACTCCAGGGGCCACGGGGTGAATAAACCAGGCTCTGATTTGAGTGCAGGTCTCATCAGACACGAGGGCAGATGCATGCCATAAAAGTGACTCATCTGCCCTGCCATCTAGTCCTATCTAGTGAGACGAAGCAAGTGCGGGAGGCTGTGGCTGTTGGGAAAGGCTTCTCATCAACAAGCATTTAATGGGGGGCCACAGAGCAATAATTGCTGCTGAAGGACTTAACAAGCTGAGAAGGAGGCATACGTGACCTTCTTGGAATTTCTCATTAAACTGGAGAGACAAGGCAAACAGATTCCACCTGGGGCCCCAGCCCCTCTCCAGATATATACCGCCTCCTGCTTCACAGCCACCCCGACAGCATGTCACCCCACTCTTCAAAGGCAACGCGCTGCTTCCCTTCTCCTGGCTTCTGCAAATGCTGTTCCGGCTACCCAAAACACCCTCCTCACCCCCGCCTTCAAGGTTTTCTCCTTGGTGTTTACCCAATGCCTCCTCCCCCACCGAGCTCCATGTACCCGGGACCCGTTTTATCACTTTCTACTTCAGCCGCCACAGAGCTGCCACTGCTTCGCTCCCATGATGCTCTTCCCCAAGCAGAAGGTGAACTCCTGTGGGGTGGTTTCTCATTCACGTCGGTGCCCTCAGCTCCTGCACTGTGCCGGGCAAGGAAATGTGGAGGACGAATGAAAGAATGAGTGACGGTCTCCAGCCGAGCATCGTCCTTTCCAGATAGCTACCTCATCTCTTTGGTTCTGTCCCAAACAGTCATGGACTGGGCCTTCCACAGATATAAACTGACCTTTCTGGCTTCCAAGAGGCACTTCAGACCCCTTGCCAAGACCCCACGCCACTTCAGACTGACATCAAACAAGACAGCCCTGCCCCGGTGCGCCATCGTCCGTGGCAGGATCCCATCAGCAGGGAAACGCTGACTTCCTGCCCACTGACGCCAAGGGCATCCCTCTGCTCTGGAGAGTTGGAGGTTACCAGCTGCCTGCTCTGACAGGCAGAGGCTCTGCAGATGTGAATAAATTCGGGATCCTGACGTGGGGAGGTTAGCCTGGATTATCCAGGTG